TAATCGATAGGTATACTCTCGAGTAAACCGTACAAAAAAAAAAAAAAAAATTTTTTTTTCAAATACGCAAAATAATTTTATAACGGCTTCCGGAACCAGATATCAAGTTAAGAAAAATAATAGTAAATTATTTCCATATACCATTATTACATATTCAAAACCCCGTACATCTTCACATACTAATTCAATCGAAACTGACTCATTAGAATTTAATATAGCGAAAATGACTGATCAAACATTATTAGCAAAAGCTCGTAAAGCACGATTCGATGATCTACCAAATTTTTCCGGACATCCTTCTGAGGATGTCGAACGGTTTTTAAAAAGCATCAAGAATATAACCAAGGCAACTGATGAATCGAATAATCATGAAATTTTAGAAATCGTTCGTGGTAAATTAATTCAATCTGCAGGAATATGGTTCGACAATAATGAAGCTAATTTTAAACAATGGTCAGATTTTGAAACTGCGTTTCGAAATCGATATTTTTCCTCAACATCAACTCATAAGAAATTTGATACATTAAAACAACGTAAACAATTACCGGATGAACCGATTACGTCTTTTTTCGACGACATTATTAATTTATGCCGGGAAATTGATTCAAATATGTCAGAAAAAATTATAATTCAATATTTAATGAGTGGAATCAATCCTGATTTTAGGAAGGAATTATTAAGACGTGAATCATCTATCAATACATTAAAGGAATTTTTAAAATATGCAAAAATTGAACAAGATTTACATGATACATTCGGTAGTCTATCACTTGATTCACAACAACGTCATTTTAATTATAATCACCCATCAATTCCACCATTAACTGCTGCAGTTAATCCACCAAAACAATATTATCATACAATGAAGTACAACAATCCTGTTTCACATTCAACACAATTACAGAGCTCCGTTTCTCAGCGGAACTCGATTCCAACACTTGGAAATTGGACATCCATGGCATCTGATAGAAAACAAATTCGGAATTATCCACCACAATCGATATCAAAGAAGAACCCAAGCAATAGTCAACAAACATCACAACATCAATTCAACAACTGTAAAGTTTGTGGTCGCAACAATCATCGGACAATTGATTGTTATCATAAACGTACAACCGGATGCTTTAATTGTGGTCAAAATCACAATGTCCGTGATTGTACATTACCTCCAAATTTTCAATAGCTGGGTCACATGATGGCGGTGTTCCCAGTAAATTTATAAAGCCATCGACAATAACATCATTCCCTGTTTACATCAAAATTCGTGTTAATGATCAACCAACGGAAGCAATTGTTGATACAGGATCCGCCATCTCAATTATTCATTCAAATTTCCTCAAAACCATTCATCACCAAAATTTTTTATATCAAACTCATTTATGTCAAACTGCAAATTCAACACCTCTTAATATTATCGGTCAAATTAAATTAGAAATACAAATTAAATCTATTAAAACTTACGTTACTGCTCGCGTTGCTACAAATTTAATTACATCAATTCTTTTAGGTAATGATTGGATAAATTCGAATCATGTTCACCTTTATGGTGACCAGAAACAATTAACTATTCCTGATCAACATGATCAATTAATCTCAATCCCGTATGTGGAACCAACTTGCATTAATTATCCAGCATTATTAGTGCATGAAATTACTCTTCCTCCATATTCACAAAAATTGGTTGATATTACATGTCAAATTGCAAATACTAATAATCTTATATTGGAACCATACGAACGTCATATATCAAAATTCATCTTCATACCACATACATTATTAAATATTAATAAAAATCACGCCAAAGTGTTACTTATAAATGCACACAATCGACAACAAACATTATCAAAAAACACACGAATCGGTACCCTTTCTCGTGATGCAACGTTCTCAATATATGCAACATCACAAGTTCCAACAAAACATAATTCTATTTTAAATGAACGTCATCAAACATCAACTCGACATTACAATAGATTGAAATCCAGAGCTGTCTTACGTAAAAAGGACAACTCGAATCACGAAAAATTAAATATTATTTGTCATCATTGCAATGAACATTTTTTATCTGGTAATGATTTACAAAAACACTTACGAGCAGAATGTTATTCCGAACAGATTCGAAAACAAATATTCGAATCGACGAAACATATAGAAAATCCAAAACATCGATTAGAAATTCAAGATATTTTATGGCGAAATAAAATATTATTTGATCCTACACCATCAATTATTAATATTCCTCCACAATCAGCAATTAAAACTGCTGATCATCCACCTATCTATTCAAAACAATATCCAGCATCATCTAAAGATCAAGAAATTAAATTTCAAGAAACACAAAAATTATTAGAACGTGGTCAAATTGAAGAATCAACTTCACCATGGTCATCACCGATTGTTCTTGTCAAGAAAAAAGACAAAACAATGCGATTTTGCATTGATTATCGACGATTAAATGCTATTACAATTAAAGATGCATTTCCATTACCTCGTATTGATGAAATTTTTGATCAATTATCCGATGCAACGTATTACACAAAATTCGATTTTAAATCTGGTTATTTCCAGGTACCTCTAGCTAAAGAGGACCGACCTAAAACTGCATTCTCAACTCGTGATAATCATTATCAATTTACAGTTCTTCCACAAGGAATAACAAACGGTCCCGCAACATTTCAACGTGTTATCAATCATATATTAGGTCCTACACGATGGAAATATGCATTAGCATATATTGATGATGTAATTATATACTCAAAAACATTTGAAGAACATTTATCACATCTCAATGAAATATGTACAATATTAAAAAATGCTCGATTTCGTCTTAATCCAGAAAAATGTGAAATTGCTCGAACACAAACTGATTATCTTGGACATCGTATACAAAATGGTGAAATTCGTCCAAGTCCTACCAATATACATGGCTTATTAAATACAAGATTACCACAGACGGCAGATGAAGCTTGTAAATTCGTTAAAGCCGCTGAATATTATAGAAAATTCATACCAAATTTTTCTCTAATCGCCGAACCACTTAGAAAATTCGTACCAACTACTCGAACTCAACGAAAGAAAGGACAAAAAACTATCATCACATTAACACATGAAGAAATCGAAGCCTTCGAACTACTTAAAAATTTTCTTACAACTGATCTGGTATTACGACTTCCAAATAATAGATTCCCTTTCAAAGTTCAAACTGATGCATCTGATGAGGGAATCGGCGCAGTACTATTACAACTTTATCCGGATGGTGATAGACCAATTGCATATCTTTCAAAGAAATTTACTCCAGCACAACGCAAATGGTCTCCAATGGAACAAGAATGCTATGCATTTATATGTGCATTAGATAAATGGCATAATTATTTAAGTGGAATCAAATTTATTTGGGAAACTGATCATAAAGCACTAACACAATTAAATCAAAAAGCACAAATTAACAAACGGTGTGAAAGATGGAGATTAAAAATTTTAGAATATGACTTCAAGGTGAAATACATTCCTGGTTTAACAAATTCAATGCCTGATTATTTATCAAGGTCTCCAGTTGATGATGCCGAAGAAGATCCTGATGAAGTTTCACTTCTTATTTCGAAATCTACACAAACCGATTTTTCAGATATTAAAAATCATTCATCTATCGTCGCAGCTGTTCAAACTCGTGCGATGAAATTACGAAATCAAACTTTAAATGATCCGAATGATGGCACAAAATTAGCACCAGATTCTCTAACCTCTTCATCCTCTAATCAAACATTGAATAATTCAATGAAAGAGAATCGAATAATTTCATTTTCTATTGAAGAATTAATTCAAGCTCAACAAAATGATAATTATGCAAAAAATATTCTGAACAATATCAAGAAATATAAAAATTATATGATCAAAGATAATCTCTTAATGCGTCGATCAAAACCTTCAGTTCCTTATGCACCACAAGGTGATTTTCGCAAAACAATTTTACAAATTTATCATGATACTGCAGCAAATGGTGCTCATTTCGGAAGAGATAAAACAATATATAAAATTAAACAACGTTATTTTTGGCCTTCAATGTACAAAGACATTGATAATTACGTGAAATCATGTATTTTATGTGCTCAACATAATCCTAGTCGAAAAAAACCTCCTGGCAAATTACGACCAATTAAACCTCCAGAAGGTGTATGGCAACTAGTAGCTATGGATTTTCATGGTCCTATTAATCCAACATCTCGTCGTGGCAACAAATATATTATATGTCTTACGGATATTTTATCAAAATTTGTGGTAACAAAAGCAGTACGTGATAATACTGCACAAACAGCTGTTAAATTTCTTAAAGAAGATGTTATTTCAAAATTTGGTACACCTCGATGTATCTTAACCGACAATGGCACTCATTTTACATCAACAATTATGAATGAATTAATAAAACAAATTGGATCAACGCATTTATATTCAACACCATATCATCCTCAATCGAATGGTCAAGTTGAAAGATACAATTCAACAATGGATGCAAAAATTGCAGCTTTATCCAACATACAGAAAACAGATTGGGATGACCAATTACCATTTGTAACATTCAATTACAATACGTCGATCCATTCCTCGACCAAACAAATCCCATTCGAAATGATGTACGGTCGAGCACCAATATTACCATTTGATTATCAAGGAGATAATGTTACAATTCAATATGATGATGAACACGTGAAAAAACTTCAACAATTTTTATCAAAATTAAATGAACAAGCGAAATTTAATATTATTAAAAATCAAGAACGATACAAACAACGTTATGATATAAATCGTTCTGATCCATCTTATCAAATTGGTGATCTTGTCCTCGTGAAAACACTCAACATACGTCACAAATTTGATATTCGTTATGAAGGACCATTTAGAATCATTCAAACCATTACACCCAAAACATTCATTGTTCAACACGTCAAAAAACCAACATTATATCGTCAAGTTACAACCGACGTGTTACTACCAATATTTGAACGAATGTATTAATTACAGGATCTCTAACAAAGAGAACCGTAATATCAATATGTCAAACTAAATGGAATAATTATTTATTGATAGATTAATCGAATTAGATTTAATTTAGCATAGCATGATCGGGGAGCGTGAGTTTCCCTCACTCACTGGTTGTGAAGGGCTATTATATTTAATCTGGTGCATTTTCTTTTATATTTTATTATTCTATTATACGAAATATAAAATTGGGTATTT